TACGTTTGGAATTCTTTATTGCTGATGTGTTTTATTGTTCATCCTAATATTTTTTTTTTCATGTGACCCTTTCACTATTGACGCAATACAATATTATGTATATATATATTATATATTTTTTTTAAATTTTATCTCTTAAAGCAACAAGCTATGAGAAATCATGCAGTCTCAGTAACATATCAGGAAAGGGGGGGTCATCACTGCGGCTTACCCCTATAACCAGCCCGCCATTTGAAAGTTACGAGGCTCCAGGACTGCTGCGCCGCTGTCGATCACCTATCCCTTCCATTTTGTAGCAGACAGGATGTAGATGATTGGGCGGAAGTGGGGTTGGGTCACCCCCCCCCCCCCCCCCCCGCCCCCCCGATTGTGGAGCGGCGTGCAAAAACAGAAGCAATAACAAATCTAGACTGAAGAATACCTTCTCAGTCTTCTCCGTCTTGCCAGTGGTTACTGCATGTCTCAGGTCAACAGGTGGCGCTAGAGAAATATTTGAATTTGTATATGTGAATCAAATAGAGTAGATTGACCGACAACGTTACTGGAGCGATCCAATTTTATCGGACACCGGGAGCATTGAGAAACAAGAATTATTATTGTTATGATGAAAGGAGCTTAATGTTACTTTCTGAAAATCCATCGAAGGAGGAGAGAATTGTTTGTTTTTTTCAAATTCGGTTGCGTATTCAGCTTTGTAGATATGGGCGTGCTGCCGACCGCTGCCACAACGGTTCTGTACTCTTAAATTGTTCTACGTACTGTAATGTCTAATGCAGGAACCACTTGGCAAGACACAGTCTTCCCCCGTGTGTAGGAGTGCACATAGTTTCTTGTATTAGTTCCTTAAGGGAAAATGTGCCGCCAAATTGAGATAACACTGTCCAATAAACGTAAAAAAAAAAAAAAAGAATTTGAAAAATGTTATAATATATTGAGGTATTTGTGAATTTGAAAAATGTTATAATATATTGATTGGTTTTTTTTTGTCTCTTGTGAGTAGTAAATGATTAACAAGGAAATGCGGTTAAAGTAAATAATAAATACATTTGACCATGCGTTGTGACGTCCATTTTGTTTTTTAACAAAAGTTGATCTTTTAAGGGAATTCTAATGATTGAACTTTACAAAAAAATATAATGATAACATGTATAGACAACAGCACAAAAATGTCTAACGAATGGTCCTGGCCTTTAAACTTTTTTACCGTATGAACAACTTACAAGAGACAACAAAAATGTCTAAGGAATGGTCCTGGCTTACAAGAGACAAAAAGGTTTTATGAAAGTATATGTGACTACTTCCGTAAATATACAACTTAAAGAGCATGTTTTTTGGGATTCTGTTAAATGTTCGTTTTGTGTACGCAGAAAAATGTATGTTTCACATGTGTCCTTTTGGTGTGTGTATTTTTAAGCACCGGTGTATTAAGGTATTTGTAACACGACATTCTCTTAATGTATCGTCACACCCTTAAGTCTATGATCACGTGTTTTGTCAAAGTTCAAAAGTAATAAATAATCACGTACGTACGTATGCAATATTAAGATGCAATATTAGTCAAACGTAGAAACACGTGGGAGTTGACCGTGATGTGACAAAAGTAGAGTCGACACGTGACGACTCGTGGCTGACGGTGTCACTGATACCGTAATTTCCGGACTATCGTGCGCACCCGAATATAAACCGCACCCGCTAAATTTAAAGAGAAAAAAAAAAAAAAAGAATTCTAACATATATAGGCTGCTCTTCTCTATAAGCCGCAGGAGTCCACGTTGTAACGTGATATATTTACACAGAAAGAGTTTTTTGTTTTTTTTTCACTTTAATTATATAAATGCTTTTTTTTCCGAACAGCGCTTGTAACACGGCTGTTTACACGTTAGCTCTTTCCTGCGTCGGCGTCCCGATCGTAAGTTGGAATGCACAGGGGAGACTTAGTGAAGCTAACATTAGGGCTGAAGCTAACATTAGGGGTGAAGCTAACATTAGGGCTGAAGCTAACGTTAGCTCTGGGGCTAACTCCCTTCACTTTGTGCTTGTCCGCAGCAGAGCAGGAAAGTTGGGGTCTTTATTATCAGTGTTTTAACAGCTCCTGTATAACCGCACACAGCCATTCACGCTACTAGTATAACACACAGTAGCCTACCAGAATAGTCACTGATCGCTAACAGTACGATTTTCGTTTACCCGTATTAAAATCAATAAATTAGCCGTGTCATTGTTTAAGCTGCAGGGTTCAAAGCGTGTGAAAAAGGTAGCCACGTTTAGTCCAGAAATTACGGTCATTTTTTTCAAAAATTACAGGAAGGACTACTTTGCAATAATAAACAGCCTATACCTAGAATTTACACAATTTACAGCAAGTGTGTTGTTTCCTCCTTGTTGTGATCATGTGCTTGAAGTAAACACCCATGAACAGTGCTAAAAGTATTTATATAGTAAAGGTGACTATTGAAAACAAAATGTGATTCTTATGTTTCAGTGGACCTTATGTCATGCTTTGACTGTCCGTTGCAAAGTTTCTATTTTTTTTTTAATGTCAAGGTAGGGATTTACATTTCCTCTACTTGTGTTGAAAAAGAATCTGGCTTCCACGCACAACTCATTTTGACACTGTTTAAAATATATATAAAAAATATTTAAATGTCTTGATGCTTTTAGATTTACCAGAATTATTTTAATAAAAAAAAAAAAAAAGGTCAGAAAATATGGTGCTTCAGAATACCCATTTTTGCAGTTACATTTCGTATTTGTTTCACAGTCATCGATATGAGGATCCTTTGTGTGTAATATGTGGCACTGAATGCTGTGGAAATGAGTGACGCCGAAAAATGTGTGACAAAAGTGTGGAACGGAAACGTTACGTTGAGTTTGAGAAAGTGTTTGGTCAATTTAAAAAAAAAATGCATGTAATTGAGTTTGAGAAAGTGTTTGGTCAATTTTAAAAAAAAAAAATGCATGTAACATATTATAAACAATATGTAGATGTGATAATAATGTATATGTTTAAAAATATCATTTTTAAGTCTGACCCCTTTATGTTTTTAAGATTTTAAGAGTGTATGTGTGCCAGGTTCAGACTGTACACTGTTTGTGTCTTTGGTTGCAGTAAGATCTTTAAATTTACACTTTTAGTCCAACATCAGAATTTTTTTTTTTTGTATCAATTCAATTGATATTTCAAATTATTATTAAATAGAACTTAATGTTGTTGATTAGCATGCGATTGTGCCGCGACGAACATGCAAACGTTACCCATGTTTTCCCTGATTTCAAACCGATGGGACAGGGCCTCTGTGTTGACACTTGAGACGACCTCTATGTTTTGGACATGCTAGGCTACCATAAGGCGTTCAAACTTTAAGGAATACAAGATTTACAATTAAAAAGATGAACTCAGTGTTAAAAAAAAAAAAAAAAAAAAAAACATCATGGAACTTGAACAAATTTTTGATGAATTAGCATTAGCCTCCAGAGCCAAACCCCAAACAAATCATGTTACTGTAGGTGTTTCCTGTAAATCGACAGATTCATAAATATTGCCATTGCGTCTAGGGAGTGAAATACAATTGTAGACATTAAGAGGGCCTCTATGAGGCTTTAGTGCTAGCGTAGAAGTTTATATAAAAGCTAGCCTAACTAGCCAAACATGCGAAGCAATGTTAATTGGTTATTATGTATACATCTGTAACAACAATAATAAATTAAAGTGCGCAAAATATCACATCTTCCTGTGCCTTTTGGGTGTCTTATTGGGTCTGCGAACACAGTTCGGTGTGTGTTTCTGTCCTGCAGCAGTGAGGTGCTAGTTCAGAGACTTGGACAAAAGGACAGAATTTTTACAGGTTCGCTAAGTCTCATATTGTCCAGTACTTCACTTTATTTAGTTACTGTTTCCAATTATGTAAATATGTGTAACAGATGTCAGAGCACTTACGTAGCGCAATCAGATATAAATGTGTGTGTCCGGAACTTGGAAACTAAATTGCAATCATTTTCGGCGAGTCATCTTGATTCATTGAGGGGAAAAAACTGTTTCAAAGTTTAAATTCAAAATTAAACTTTGACGGTCACAAACAACTTTGTTTCTGTCAATCCTGGTCATTTCCTTTCTGTTCACGTAGCCTGACTTTCTAGCATACCTACAAAAATAGCATACGTGTGTGTTTTATTAAGGGTTGTCGAAATGAACTTGTTAATTGCATGAATTAATTTCTAAGGATTGATCACAAATTTCACTTGTATTTTTGCATTGTATTTTTCTTATTAGGTTTGTGTGAGGACGATGACCCAATAATTACTCCATTTTTTTTTTTTGGTACAATATAATCTAAAATATCATCACAGCTCATTCTTGTACTATATATATATGTTTTATGTTTTGCTGACATTCTCTTTGTTCTCTGATATTGTCAGCCATAATGTTGCATTCGTTATTCTCATTACTCTATGTTGTGGTATATCACTTTAACTTTTGTATTAGAGATGTCGAATGTTTAATAGGAGTGATGTAATAACAGCTTAATCTTTATTCTGACATGCTCAGTTACCCAGCATTCGACAGGTAATGGTGACGTCTGAATACTTTTCACCCGTGACATCATTTAAGTAACACTTGTGAAATAATTGCCAATTGAAAACATGCTTTATACATATTTGATGAAAGCAGGCTATTATTTTGTAGTATATAACATGCTAACCGAGCATGCTAACCAACAAGGTTTGGTTAAAAAAACAAAATAGTCCAAGTTGTTTATGGACCTTAAATACTTGGGAAATAATTACCAATTGAAAACATGCCAAAAAAAAAAAAGACATACAGTTGATTTGATGAAAGCGAGTTTTATTTTTGTTCAGGATGTCTGTGAACTGCTGTACAGTATGTAACGTGCTAACTTAGCATGCTAACCAAAAAGATTTGGTTAAAAAAAACAAAAAAAATATTCCATTGTTGTTTATGGACTTTGAATACTAATGACTGTTCATTTTTGTTTTCACAGTGTTGAGTTTCTAGCATTCGCCTTCTCTCTAATGACGAGTCGGTAAAGAGTAAACACAAATTTGCAGAAGGAGCCACACAAGCGACATTTTTGATGCAGATGGACACTTTAAAGAGGAATCTCTGGAGTGACAAGAGAGAGCCAGACCAGAGGTTAATCACGAATTTCACAAATTATACGTCCTGCTCTTAATATTGGTACCAAAGCAACTTCTCGAAACTCTGAACACACTTCTGACAGTTTTTTTTTTTTCAACTTTTTTTTTCTCAAAATGACTGAGGGTTGCACTGACACACTACGGGAGAAGGAACTCCCGATTACACATTACAGACGACATCTCATTGTGTTATCTTCACCGTCTTTTACAAAGACCAACTCCTAATTGACAGTATTAAACCGCGGAAAGAATCACAATGATCGGATAAACATAGTAGCGACTTTGCTAACGGCTTGTAGCATTTGACTCAATTCATCCTCTGTCCACAGACAGAGGAATTTATGCATTCCGTGGATCTTATAGATGTCATTTTTTTTTCTATTGGGTTTCCGTCCAGTGGAGAACAGGACAGGGCATTCGTCTTGGCCATCAAAAAAAAAACAACAAAAAAAACTGCATATCTGAAATGCATCACAAATGTACAACATCCATGCTACGGTGGCTCGCTATTATTTTAAGCACTTGTACAGCAGGCTTGCCACTTAAACTATGTCTTCCATTCATCTTATCAGACTGAAACACTGCCCTTTCCTCCAGTACAGAAGAAAGACACTAAAGCACATGTAGCATCAGCTCAACTCAATCAAAACAAAACACAAAAAAAAAAAAAAAAAAAATGACGACACTATACCTGAAGTATTCTTACGTACGGCTTTGGCATTGCCTCTTATTCCATGCAGAATAGCATGCTTTGTAGTTTAATAGACTATATTTGGACTCACTTTCACCTTGTGTTTTCGTGTGGGTGGCATTGATTCTGCCCAATGTTTGTTTTTTTTTTTTTTTTTTTTTGTGTGGCTTGTCTCGGTTCTGTTTGTAGGTCAGGTAACAGGGTGAAGTGCTTTTCTAACGGGCCCCTTTTTTTCGGGTTTTTTGGGGGGGGGGGGGCACTGTCCAAACGGGGCATTTACAGTCTTGTTTCATGGGGGTAAAAAGATGTCAGAGAAATATGCAGTCACATGTACAGACCATCCCCTGAGACATTGTCCACTCTAAATGACTATACAGAACATATCGCGTAGTGCTAAATCGAGAATGTTAATAGATGTTACAAAGTCTGGTTTGGTTATGTAAAGGCAACAGTTGTCAGGTGTCCATGTCGATTTTGTGGGCACTATTGAGACCAGACCAGTTTGTTTTTGTTTTTTTTACTCACCTTGTGCCCCAGTTACTACTACTACTATATATTCCTCCCCGCCAAGGAAACTATTGTGTTCCTGCTCCCCCTCCCCCCCCCCCCCTTTTAACACTTTTGTGGGTTTAAAATATGGAAAGTCGAATAAAATGTAGCAAGTTGTCCGACCACTCAGGAAGGTGTGCATTGGGAGCTGCTTTCCAAGTCACTGATGGTCTCGAAGCAGGGACTATTCCTGGGACTGGGAGTGTCCTGGTACTGTAATTTAGTAGATCCTAAGAGGTACATTATTTCTAAAACCAGATCGATGTATCAAAGGGACTACTGGTGATGTATGAAACTCTTGAAAGGATGTCCCATTAGGGTTTGGACCATCAGTCCTTTCAATGCCATTCCACGGGGTAGGAAAAAAATATCAAATGTGAATAATATAAATGATCTGCCACATTCCATAGCTAGAGAATACGCACATCAAAATGTACCGTAATTTCCGGACTACGAGCCGCTACTTTTTTTTTCACACGGTTTGGACCCTGCGGCTTAAACAGTGATGCTAGGCTAAGTTATGGATTTTTACGAGCTAACGAAGTTCGTACCGCTAGCGAACAATGACTTTTTCTGGTAGGCTACTGTGTGTGTTATACTAGTAGCGTATGTCTGTCTGTGAATGGCTGTGTGCGTATATGTGTGCGTAGGGCACGCCAGAGAGAGAGAACGGTAGCGAAAGTTGAGAGCAGTTTGTCACCTTGAAGCGTTAGTTGGTTATAGAGGAGCTGTTAAAACGCTGTTTATGTTTCTGTTGTGGTCGGAGTGGCTAATAATAAAGAGCCCAACTTCCCTGTTTCTGTTTACCTACCCTGCTGCGGACAAGCACAAAGTGAAGGGAGTTAGCCCCGACCGAAGCAGGAAAGAGCTAACGCGTAACCAGCCGTGTTACAGGCATAGTTGGGAATAAATTCTTTATTTAATTAATTACAAGTGAAAAATAAATCCTTCTGTGTAAATATCCCACGTTACAACGTGGACTCCTGCGGCTTATAAAGAAGTGCGGGCTATATATGTAGAATTATTTTTTTTCTTTTTAAATTTTCCTGGGTACGGCTTATATTCAGGTGCGCCGAATAGTCCGGAAATTACGGTTATTACATTTTATCCGTGACGTTGTGGACTCATGTTTAGGAGACAATATTTAAGCTTTTTCGAGGACCAATAGATTTGAAGAAAAAAAAAAAAGGACTGTCACATAAAACGCTTCACTAGCTGGATATGATGTGACATCATTTTTAAAGGGACCAATCAGAAAGAAGAAGACTAACACTGCCAATAAGGCATAGCACTCTCCAGATGCATACTGCCCAGTCTCTCTCTCTTGTCTCTCTTGCTGCTGAAGACTGACGTTTTCCTCGATGTCAAGATAAAGATGGATTATCAGGAGAGATAGCAAAAAGCGGACAGCAAATAACACAAGAATGAAAGTGTACAAAGAGAAAAAAAAAATCTATTTTTTGATAATCAAATCAACTACCTGTGGCTTTAGAGAAACTTGGAATGAAGAAGAAAAAAAATGATGCAAATAAGAAAAAAAAAAATTCTGACTTTGGGTCACAGTGCAGGGGAGAAGAGAAAAAGAATATTTTGTTGTGAGTGGTAAACAAGTCTTTCCCCAGTGCACCAGGAGAATGAGCAGAGACTCTGTTGCACAGGAAATGACACTTAGATGAACACAAAAGAAAAAAGAAAAAAAAAAAAGAAAATTAATCTTTTTATCTTTGTTACCAGCATGACTTCTTTGCATGACTGTGTTTCCTGCAAGCCCTTAGTTGAAGACGAGGGTGCTAGAGATACAAAAAAAAAAAAAGTATATAAAAGGAATTTTAAAAATTATTATATGCAATTATTGTTTTAAAAAGAAAAAAACTTTAATGAAAGAGAAGAGCTATATTTTGTTTTTAAACGTTAAGAAAATGTGAATATTGAAACATGTATGTTTGCAAAAAAATGCAACCTGATGTAACATGTGTTTTCGTTCCATAATCGTCACCGCTTCTGACCTTTCTCCTCACCGCAGACCTTTTCCGCAAATGTTGTTCTGCAGTACATGTTTTTGTTTTTTTTTCTCAGGTCTGGTCAAAAAAAAATGCATAGAACTCTTTGAAACATTTGCACAAGTGAACAGTAGCAGCAGCAGCAGACGCAGCAGCAGTGTCAAAGAACAGCTCTAACAATCACAGCTCTACGTAGATGCTTGATTAGTTACCCATGTGTAAGTTTACTTTCCTTTTCCTTTTGCAATAATACGAGAACTCTTACACAGTCGTAGCAGCGCGGGCAGAGACCTTCGGAAAGCGTCGTCAAATGCCGCCTAGTGTTCAAATGATTTCCCCATTGGCAGGAATGATCTGGGATAGTTCTGTTTCTGTAGGAAAAAAATATATATATTTATATATATAAATATATAAATATATTTATATATATATTACATATATATATACATATATTATATAAGATAGATAGATAGATAGATAGATAGATAGATAGATAGACTGATTGAAAGACAGACAGACAAACAAACAGAAAGACAGACACAGATATGATAGATATACATTTATATATATATATTTATATATATATATAGCCAGACAGACAGGTTAAAAACATAGAATGTAAAATGTAGTTAAAATGTAGCTGTTTGATTGGGAAAAAGAAGTGCAAACAGAAAAATCAACAAAACTTCTAGTTCTTCTAGTTCTAATACAGACTGAACCAAGAAACATATTGCCCATGGAAGAGTCATACATTTTGTCATTTTTATTCAAGCAGAAAACTACTGGGTGTCTAATGTGTCAATATCCGGTATAAAGTCATGCCTATTTTCCATGCCTGTTTTTGTTTTGTACTTGTATTCAAAAGAATCAAAACGTTGGACGCACCGCACTAAGATTTTTCCATCCAAACATGAACACAGTTACAGCCAGAATATAATGTCCTTTTTTTTTTATACCGTATTTTCCAGACTATAAGTCGCACAAGTTCTTTGGCTGGGTTTGCGACTTATACCAAGGTGCGACTTATATGTTAAAATATGTAATTTCACGTGTTTGTTATTTTTACACCCACAGCCACTAGAGGGCACTCTAGGCTTGTGTACCAGTATCTGCGCCTCCTGTAACACTGAAAATTACAAGTTTGTCATTTTCACACTGACAGCCGCTAGGGGGCACTCTAGCTGGCTGGTGCCACTTATACAGTGGAGCGACTTATAATCCGGAAAATACGTTTTAGATACTGCGCTAGTTCGCTAGGTCCACTGAGATTTTCGGGTAGCTTAGAACTGAACTGCCTTTTCCGAGCTTCATATCTGGTTATAGGACTCAGGTATGTTAATGGTGTGCGGATGTAGTTTTCATTTATTGTTTCACGTATATATGCAAAATAATGCTAACACCTCACAGTGATGATTAAAAAAAAATGCATGCATTTTGGCTTGATGATATCCTGACGGGGGGACTTGTCGTACCTTTGCGTTAATTACGTACACTGTGCTGTCTCTTGAGCAAAAATGTCTTCCTCACAGAGGCAACTGAAAACTACTACTAACACTCACAGTGACAGCACAAGTGTGTGAGGTAGCTTTTGTGTTTTGTTTTGTTTTTTTTTTTTATGTTTGCATCTGTCTTGTCACCGATGACATTACTATTAACCAGCTCGCAAAGTGACCGCTTGTTACAGTGCGCAACTTAACAATGTAATCACCGATCGAAGCAGCCGAGATCTTCCAAATTATGTCAGCGGGGGTACTTTTAAGTGTTGTGACAAAATAAAGACCAGAGACGCTATTGTCCACCGAGGTGCAACTGATGCGGTAGGATTAACTTGCCAAAAATTCTATATAATTTAAGAATGCTCTTAAAGATCCTCATCTTTGGTTTCAAAGTCCAAGTAAGTTTCAGGCCCTGCTGGTTCAGGGCTAGGTTTTGGCAGCTAAATGGTCCAGCAGCTGGTGACTCACTGGTTTATGAGACTCACATATGTTCTTATTTAGAAATAAATACAAAACGTAAGTTGGTCTTACAAGGTCTTACGTTTGTTTTTTTTGTTTTGTTTTTTTTCGTGTTTGTTTTTTAATCACTCGACTCTGATACTGCTCTGTTAATGCTAGCCAAAAAAAACAAAAGATGTCATTATTTTCCAGTGTATAAAACTGCCTTGATTATCATTACTTACATTGTATACATAAATTACTTACATAATTACATTGTTTAAAATACCATGTTTTTTTTTTTTTCTTCATTGAAAATTGATAATTTACTATTTGGGATGTCCGATAATAGCTGACCGATATTGTTGCTTGATGTCCGATAATATCAGCTGACCGATATTGTTGCTTGGTGTTAGCTTAATTATATAATATCGGTAAGAACAAATATCAAATTTTCCTCCTAATTTTGGGTTTGGCCCAGATGTTGTGACCTAAAAATAGTTTGGAAGTGAAAGCGAAACTATTATATGTATTGTGCACAGTATTGTCATTGCACTCTACCTTTAACCCAAACGGCTGCATATATTGGTATATTATCAGTCGATATTGGAATCGGAAGTTAAGTGTTTGGACAATATCGTCCTACCAGACATCGGCAGAAAGCTAATATCGGACATCCCTATTAACTTCGGAATATGCACAACCAAAATGGAAATACTTTAAACGCTAAGTAAACCTACTTACCATGTGACGGTCTCTCTTCGGGTGTATGAAGATGACTGACTTTTTCTATTCATTCTGTAGGCAAATTAAAACCAAACTACCCCATATATGCCCCTTCTTGGACACATACCGTTTTTTTCCTCACATGTTCTTTCACGTCGAATAACTGCCAACCATCGAGTATCTGAGCTTTTTTTTGCTGTATACTTCAGCAGTCGCAGAGTGATAGAAAGCAGTTGTTTGAAAAAAAGAACGTGATCTGTCTTAACATGGGTCATCCAAAAGTTGTATATTGTGTCTCTTTTTGAATTCTACACGTTACGATACCCCCCATGTCATTTCTGTACTGTTGTATGCACCTGAATTAACACAATGAATGGCATGCGTATATGTTAGCATTCCACTGTTGGTGTGTTACCATTTTACATGCCATAAAACTGTAAAAAAAAAAACGTAAAAAAAACATAGCTACCAGTCTGTTGTACTTTCTAACAGTAGCGTGAATACAGAGAAGACGTCACCACTGCAACATGAGTCAATTTTTATTTTTGAAATTAAAAAAAAAAACGTAAAAAAAAAAAAAAAAAAGAACTAATAGTTAAGAACTGTATAAAGTATGTTTCATGGAATGTTCATGATATATTGTTTTATATTTTAAAGGGAAAAATATATATATATATATAAATAAAGTTTCATAACAAAACATAATGCTATCATTAGGACTTAAACTGTACGAGTGTAAAGACAGCACCGTCATGTGGACCAATCTCAAACGCAGCTTGAATAACTGACTACAACAGTCACGAGACGCTAAAAAAAAAACAAATAACAATGCTATATATATCATTGACATAAACTAAAAGAAAGAAAAAATAAAACCAGGAATATTTATTGTGTGTCATTTTCTTTTAACGCTATGGAACTGTTGAAATGAAATCATTGTTAGCATCCCGGTTTTGACAGGAACACACAGTGCAAGTGAAGTCACATTAGTAGCAGTTATTCTTTTAGGTATACAGGGCACACTATTGTTATACTGATGTTGGCCCACCCAACCATAGTTTAATAAATATGCATATATTATTTAAAAGACGATGAGTCAGATTCCCCCCCCCCCATCTTCTAAAATAAACACTGGTCATGAAAGTTCATGCTCTTTATTTCCAAGGTCAACCGCAACCGTGTCAAGATTGATGCGATAATGTCGATGCTGTTTCCTTACTGAGTATCTTGTGACGTCCAATATACACGAAACCAGATATGGGGGAGGATGTATTTTTATTCTGAGCAGAGACCATAGCATGTCTTTGTTATAATTCGGTGACTCATGAAAATGACTCACACGTTTGAGTCCTTTCAATAATCAATTCTCACCCTTATTTGTACAGACAAATTCTTATGAACATCAAGACAAAAAAAAACAAACCATTGCAACAATATGGCAAAAACAAAAACAACTTTACTTCATATGATGTTAAAATTACACTACACCATATGCATTAGGTTTTGTTGGACTTCTTGTTGGACAAATGCATCACTTGTGCAGATACTGTACTGCAGTAAACTCTTTTTTTTTTTTTTTTTTTTTTTTTAATTCAGATGACCAGCTAGAGCAGGTCCAGGGTCCAGATACGACCCGTTTGTTGTTTTAATCCGGCTCTAGCTTCTCCAAAATATATTCATACTTTATAATACCATTCTACTTCTGCCTTTTCCCTGCAATACCCACATTTCCCCGTGGTGTAGAAAGGGCTAAAAGCATTTTTTTTTTATCCTTTATTCGTAAAGTTTATGGCGTGTACATTTTATTTAAATTATTAAATTATCACCTGATTTTGGCCTAAAATATTTGCTCACCACTGGTCGATACTGTCAGCACAGAAAAAGGCAAAGCTTAGTTTACTTTGGTCTGCCGGCAGGTTACACATTGCTGGCAAGTTGTACAATCTGGCCCACGGATGGTTGTAGGCTACATATGATGCTACCTTTATTCAAATATATGCCATATATATGTTAAACCCACATACATGTGACATACATATATACATACATGCTTACATCCTTACATGCTTACATACATACATACATACAGTAAATACATACATACATGCATTCATACAGGCATACAGTAAATACATACATACATACATACAAACATACATACACACATACATACATACATACAGTACATACATGCATACATGCGTACATGCATACATACATACATGCATACATACATACATGCATTCATACATACATGCATTCATACAGGCATACAGTAAATACATACATACATGCATTCATACATACATGCATTCATACATACATGCATTCATAGATACATACAGTAAATACATGCATACATGCATTCATACATACATGCATTCATACATACATGCATTCATACATACATGCATTCATACATACATGCATTCATACAGACATACAGTAAATACATACATACATGCATTCATAGATACATACAGTAAATACATGCATACATGCATTCATACATACATGCATTCATAGATACATACAGTAAATACATACATACATGCTTACATGCTTACATACATGCATACATACATACATACATACAGTAAATACATGCATACATGCATTCATACATACATGCATTCATACAGATACATACATACAGTAAATACATACATACATACAGTAAATACATACATACATACATACTTTTAAGTAAATAGGTTTTCTATGTCCCTGCCTCATGTGAAAGCTGTGCTTAGGATGCCAACCCCCCCCCCCCCCCCCCCCCCTCCCTCTTTGTGTGTGCGTCAGACTGTGCATCATTGTACAAAGCACTCCACCAAGTGACTGGAAGATGTACTGCAGATTTTTGATACAAACTCACACACAATCACCACCACCCGATAAAAACAGTCCCTTACATCCTGCGACCAATCATATATGCCAATAAAGTATACAGCTTTACAATGTATCTTTTTTCAATGAATTAACTAACTCATCATAATAATAACAATAATAATAAAACCCTAAACAAGGGACAAGCCGAAAGGAAAAGAAGAAGATTTTACAAAAATAATAATTCCAAAAATTTAACTTTTCAATTTAATTGACCTTTAAGAAACGCCACATGAGGAAAAAAGAGTGGCCAGCTGTGATTGGCTGGGATTGGCTTCAATATCCGCACGACTAATAAAATAAAAAAATAAAAATAAATAACATATAAAATATCATAGTTTATAAATGATGATTATATATATATATATATTTTTTTTTTTTTAAGTGAAATACCTTAAATTCACAATTTCACAGTTAAAGGGTACATATACAAAATGGGTGAATTAATTAATTAATTAATTAATCATCAATACACTCGCTTTTTCTATCCCAAAGTTGACTGAACTGCCAGTGACCTTGATGTCAACAGTTTTAAAACTCTTTAAAAATCGATTTTGTAAGCACCTTCTTCGTGTCAGTGAGGGACACACACGCGTCTTAGTCTCAGGCTCAGTAGTGACATTCGATAACGAGGTTGAAGGTTGTATTTCCTCATAGCTAAAATGGATGGCAAGGACATAGAATTGTTGGGGGGGTTCCAGCACAGATTATATTTCAGCAGNNNTTTCCCAATAATTCAAGATGGACGACATCTGTCAGTGAGCTAAAGGGAAAACGAAGTGCGCGTTCCAAAAAAAAAAAAAAAAAAAGCTAAACCTAGCCAAAGCACTTTAGCTGGACCGGTGGTGGACACAACAGTCTTCAACAGTGTCAACGTCAACTTGAGGAGGCACAGCAAGTTAGAAGACAAGGATTTTGTATGTGACAGATGAACATGACGACATGAGAGGGAGCAACTGACGACCCATTGACCCAGAGAAAGTAAACAATGTGATTTTCTACCATATATTTGCCAGCAGTTGTTTTGCATTTGGTGAGTAAACGTTTTAACTTGATATTCATTGATTTTACAGTTTTTTTGTGATTTAATGTTTTTTTTTAATAGTTAATATTCTGACAGCACCACTTACCGTAATTTCCGGACTATAAGCCTATAAGCTACTTTTTTTCACACACTTTGAACCCTACAGTTTAAACAATGATGCGGCTAATTTATGGATTTTTACAAGCTAACGAGCTTCATACCGCTAGCGATCATTGACCTTTCTTGTAGGCCACTGTGTGTTATACCAGTTTTACCAGTAGGGTATGTCTGTCTGTGAATGGCTGTGTGCGTCTATGTTCGTGGGGCAGAGAGAGAGAACGGTAGCTAAAGTTGAGAGCAGTTTGAGTCCTGTCATGTTGAAGCCGGAGTTAGTAATACAGGAGCTGTTAAAACTCTGTTTATGTTCTGTTGTGGTCGGTGTGTCTGATAATGAAGACCCCAACTTCCTTGTTTCTGTTTACCTCTGCTGCGGACAAGCACAAAGTGAAGGGAGTTAGCCCTTAGCTAGCTAATGTTAGCTTCGGCCCTGGAGCAGATCACTAAGTCTCCCCTGTGCCCTGTGCATTCCAAATACGGTCGGGACGCCGAAGCAGGAAAGAACTCGGGGCGCCGAAGCAGGAAAGAACTAACATGTAACCAGCTGTGTTACAGCCACTGTTCGAAAAAAAACAAAACATTTATTTAATTAGAAGTGAACAAAAAAATCTTTCTGTGTAAATATCCAATTTTACAACATGGTCACCTGTAGCTTATAGAGAAGCCTATATCCAATTTTACAACATGGTCACCTGCAGCTTTTAGAGAAGCGCAGCCTGTATATGTAGAATTATTTTTTTCTTCTTAAATGTAGTGAGTGCGGCTTATATTCAGGTGCGCTCAATAGTCCGGAGATTACGGTAGTTTGTTAGTGTTTCTAGAAAATCAAAAATAATTCTCATTTACTAAAAAAAAAAAAAATGTTGTAATATTTTTACAGTTTGTGATGACATCTGCTTTTTAAAGCCAAAAGAGTGCTTTGCTGCAATTCCAGGACGGGGTACTGAGAGGGATGGACAACTGTGACCCAAAAGGAAATGATAGAGGAGACATGAGAAAAGAGAGTGACGGCGAGAAAGATAAACAGCTGAAGAATCAGCTCAACTGCGATGAAAAGCGACAGACGGAGATAAATGGAAATGTAAAGGAAATGAGGAGGGGAAGCCGAACCCTTAGGGCTCTTTGGCCGAGTGGATGTACGCTGAGTAAAAGACTCGCAATTAATGTCTCAGGGATGCGTTACGAAACCCAGCTACGTACACTAGCCCAGTTCCCCGACTCGATGCTTGGTGACCCCAGACGGCGGTCACGTTATTTCGACCCTCTGAAAAATGAACTGTTCCTGGACCGAAATCGTGCTTGTTTTGATGCCATCCTTTATTTTTACCAGTCTGGCGGGAGGCTTCGAAGGCCGGCCAACATACCCCTGGACGTCTTCATGGATGAGTTGATGTTTTACGAGCTCGGTGAGGAGATCGTGAACCGCTTCATGGAGGATGAAGGTTTTCCAAAAGAGGAAGAGAGTCCGCTACCTTCCAGAGGGGTCCAACGAAGACTCTGGATGCTCTTTGAGCATCCGGAGTCGTCATCAGGCGCACGTATCATAGCCATCATCAGTGTCATGGTTGTTGTGGTGTCCATTCTTATCTTTTGCCTGGAGACACTGCCTGACTTCAGGAATGAGAAGGAGATGCGAGAGGTAAGTAGTTCATTAAATAAGGTTGAAGTTTCTTAAGACGTATTCAACAGACTGTGAGACTCGCACAATATTTTCGTCCTTTTGCTGGGTTTGCGACTTGTATATTAAATTATATAATTTCATATAATTTGTTAGTTTCACACTGACAGCCACTAGAGGGCACTCTAGGCTCGTGTACCAGTATCTGCTACTCCTGTAACACTGAAAATGGACATGTTCGTTACATTCACACTGACAGCCACTAGAGGGCACTCTAGGCTCGTGTACCAGTATCTGCTCCTCCTGTCCCCCTGAAAATTGACATGTTCATTATTTTCACACTGACAGCCGCTAGAGGGCACTCTAGCCGACTGGTCTGACTTGTACTCTGGAGCGACTTGTAGTCTGGAAAATACAGTACACACATTTTGAAGTTTCTAAATGCCAAGAAATATCAGAGGTTTGTATCAACAAAGGACAAAGACAGGCGTAAGTAACATTCAGTGGATCTCAGGTTGATTTTTGATTGACAGGAAACTGTAATGTACGCATTATATCAGTGGTGTCAAACTCCTTTTGTTTCACTGGCCGCATACAGCCTAATTACAAACGGTCCAATCATAGCTTGGTTAACTATAAAGAACAGTGGTCCATGTTCTTCCCCTTTGTTTTCATGCAAGGAAGTACAAGTATATGAGATATTCCTATTGTGTATTATGAACATGAAATGTTTGCGTATTGTGTTTTGTGTATTTCATTATTTTTCAAAATTCATCACTTCATTATTGTAGATGTTTGTACATGCGTCTGTGGTTTTAATTCCAAGGGGTCCCCTACTTGTGTTGGTGTTTTGGTTCCTACGGCCCGAAGTAACATGATTTCTGCTATATGTCGGAAGACTCGCGTAGTCCATAAGTATCCAATCACCAACCTCTAACACAGAGCTTACGTCATAATCTAGGAGATAAAAACATCAGAGTCTGACTTGCACTTGGGGAGCCATAATAACAAAAAACATTATCAAAAAAAAAAAAAAAAAAAAACAACACAAACGAAAGAAAGTAAAGGCAGCCAAATCCAACGTATGGTGTAAAACCAACAAATGTAAACAAAGCTGTTTTCGACGTATACCACTGTGTGATGGAGTATTCGTCCGCCGCACTAGCCGACTAGTTCTCATGCGAAATTTGTTTTAACACCATACGTCGGAGCGATGGATCAAGACTTTCTTAAGAAATGTATGGGAGATGACAACATAATCCCGAAAAACTTGACTTTTTTTGATGCCTTAATTACTCTAGATGAGTACAGGCCACAACCTAGGTTGTTTGTTTGTATGAGATTTGTACGAGATTGGACACAAATTAAATTTGGGTGGCTATCCGAGTACCAAAAAGTACCACAAAAAAAAAAGTTCTATAAAGGGAGTTACATGAAGACTACTAGTGATACTGATATGTGAACAACAACCACAAACATGTGTCTGGAAGAAGACCAGAGACCAGGAAAGGTTTATGGTGCGATTATTTTAGTTGGCTGTTAAATTTAATCCTCATGGATTCTAAACACAGGGAGAGCGAGAAAGGCTCAGCACTGTATCAGTGAGTACAACAAAATACCCCCACACACCCCCCCGCCCCCGACAAAATACAGAGAAAAGGTGTAAATAAAAGGGTCAAGGTCAAACGTTAAGATAAGAAAGTTAAGAAAGAAATGATTAGTTTCTTATAAAAATATATATTATATTATTTATATAAATAAAAATAATGTAAAAATAATAAATAATAATAAAATAAATATAATAAAATAATAATAATAAAAATAAAATAAAATAACAATATAAAAATAATATATAAAAATATATATTATATTATTTATATAAATAGAAATAATATAAAAATAATAAATAATAATAAAATAAATATAATA